GCGTGAGCAGAAACACGCGCTCTCATCTGAGGGTAGCTTTCTGTCAGCTCTGAAAGACGGCCCTTCTCTATCTCTTCAGCTTCTGTTCCTACGCCGTCCCCAGGGGGCTGGGCATCTCTGCTCCTTGGTTTGCTGGCTTAGTCTCTTTTAAGACTCAAAAAAGGAACCCTGGTGGCTGAATGGCTACATGTTGGGCTGCTAACTGCAAGGTCAGCAGTTCGAAACCATCAGTTGTTGCATGGGAGAAAGATGAGGCTGTGTGCTCCTGCCAAGAGTTACAATCTCAGCTGGATTAATGGTTCCTTGGGGGTGTGATTGAGGGGAAGAGGGGAGCTAATAACGATGGGGACAAGAATGAAGAAGGTTCTAAGACTTATTGTCATGATGATTGTACAACTCTTCTTGTGATTGAACCATTGAGTTGTATGATATGTCCATTCTATGCCAATAAAACTGTTGGGGGTAGAAAGAGTTACAGTCTCGGAAGCCCAGACAGGGGGACATCCACAGGCATGTTGTTAGGATTTACAACACATATTTCGGTGAGGGGTGAGCAGGGAGACACAGTTCAACCAAGAAAACTGACTGCAAGTGACTTTAATCTTTTGGACCCAGACCTGGGTCCAAAGAGGGGCAGAGAGAACTCGAGCATTGGGAGAATGTGTCGGAGGGCCAAGCTGCCGACTTGACTCCCCAAGTCCAAAGTGAGCTTCCTCAAAAGGAGCTGGCCCAGAGAAGACTCCGTGGGCTTCCAGAATCCACTGTGGAATGTGTTTCTCCCTCCACCAGAGGTGACCACGGATGCAGACGTGCTTTCCAGAGAGGATTCCCGCCGCAGCTTGATATTAACTGTAGCAGCTGTGACAGGGAAAGTGGATGTTCCCCAAGTAAAGAGCTTGGGGGATGTCCTTCCAAAAACCAAACCAAGCTCGCCTCCATGGAGCCCATGCTGACAGCCAGGACCCCACAGGGCCGAGTAGAATGGCCCCTGTGGGTTTCTGAGATGGCAGTTCTTTACAGGAGTAGAAAGCCTCCTCTTTCTCTCCTGTGGAGCGGCTGGTGGTTTTGAACTGCTGACCTTGTTGTTAGCGGGCCAATGCAAAACCACTCTGTGACTCTGCTACCCAAACAGATGACAGCCCAGAAAGCCCGGTGCACAACCACTGCACCATCAGGACTCCGGGGGAGTCCCCGGGACGTGAGAATGATGAGCTGGCCCCGCAGCTGCCTCAAAGGTTGGAGTTCATTCCGAGGTGCCTTGAGAGAAGGCCTGGTGAACTCTAAAACCAAAGTAAAACCAGACTCACTGCCGTCAAGTTAATGCTAACTCACAGCAGCCCTGCAGGGCAGGGTCGAACTGCCCCTGTGAGTTTCTGAGTCAGCGAGCAGCAAGCCCCGTGTCTCTCCATCTTTGAATGGCTGGCCCGGAGGGCAGCAGCCCAAAGCTGTAACCGCTATGCTAATGGATTCCTTTGATGAACTCCAGTTGGAAAAAATCCCCCCAAAAACAGCCCTGGCAAACCTTTTGGGGCACAGTTCTATGCTGACACACCGTGAGTCAGAGTCAACTGGATGCCAACCGGTTTTTGTTTTTTTTGAAATAGCCTGGCCTTGGTGACTCATAAGACCAACCATGAGTCAGAATCGACCCCACAGTGACTAGTTAGGTTTGGTGAGAGGGTGTGGAGGCAGTGGAGGGGCCTGCAGGGGAGAAGCCTGGGAGAGGGACTGGAGTTTTTGTCCATCTTCTCACTGCACTCATGTTTGGGGACCAGCCGGGTCAAGGGTCCCCCAATGAGTCAGCCTTCCAGGACTTCCCAACAGGCAATGGGTAAGACTGACTCCCGCGGGTTGTATTAATGGCCAGGTGGGGTGACGCAATGCACCCAGCCTTGACCCTTGACACTCCAGCACAGGAGCTGGCTGAGAATCAAGGTTCTCAGGCCCAGCCAGCTTCCTCCCTTGTGGCCTCTGGTCCCAGCACCAGCCCATCCCACGCTCCTCCCGGGACCTGGTCAGGGCACTGCCCAGGCTGCTTGGAAGGACTAGGCTTGTCTTTGGGGCTGAGTTGCCGCAGGCTGTGACCCTATCGCTGTCACCTAGCTCTCCAGGGCTTTCTTCCTGGTCTTTTTCAGTCTGGAAGCTCTGAACTGATGTCTATTCAGCCTCAAGGCTCTGGTGCAAGTCTTCACAGACAGGCAGGTGGTGGCTGTGCCATGGGGCACAATGGGTGGGTCTTGAATTCCGCTCTCCTGTGTGGGAGGAGAGAATTCTCCCTCGGGAAACATACTCCCTGAATTATAATGAATGATTGTGATTCAGACCAGCGCCCTGGTTTTAAGCTCATCTGAGATGGGCTCTCTGACGGCCTGGACTCCCAGCTGTGGGGACACCCACACTAGGCAGTGACCTTCATCGTGGTGGGTTGGGCCGTCCCCCTCCTCCTGCCCACTGCCTCAGCGAGTGGGTCCCACGTCCCTGGGTCCATGACTGGCTGCTTCTGCCATTCCCTCCCCACGCCGCCGTTCCAAGGCCCTGCTGTCCCCCGCACGGGACTGCGCTTGCGGAGGGATGGTGCTATTTAAGGAACTTGCAACGTTCAACAGGAGCGTGACGAAATCACAACGCAGCCGTCAAACTAGTCAGACCGATTTTTATGAATCTGCGAAACCCCAGGCAGCAACTTGTCTGCTCTTGCCTAAGGACCGGGAACGATGGGAGAAGCTGACGGCACTAGAGGCCACCTCTCCCAGAAGGCCTCCCTGACCACCTCCTCCACAGCGGCCCAGGCACATGGCTGCAGACTGAAGTGGGTGGAGTGGCGAGAGGCAGGAGTGGGTAGGGCAGCAGGAAGTGGGAGGGAGAGGAGTGGGCGAGGCCACGGGTGGTGGGTGGAACCGTGAGAGGTTGGCAGTGCTACAAGGGGTAGGCGGAGCCACGGGAAGTGGACCGGGCCAGGCTCACAAACACCCATGCCTGGCATCAAGTACCTGAAGGACACCTGTAGAGCCGGGCTCCAGGCAAAGGCTCTATCCTCAGTGCTCGGCTCAAACAGCAGTGGGCTGCCCAGGGCTGAGCCTCTAGACCGTTGTCCACTCCAGAGGCCACAGTGGGGCTCACAGGCCTCCTTGGGTTCCCATCAGCCGAGCAGCTAACCTGCCCCTCTCATTGCCCACCAATGAGGAAAGTGGAGCCCACATGGAGAGAACAGAGGGCTTCGTGGGAGGCCCAGGAGCCTGCCCTCAGCCTCCCCAGGATGTCCAGGGAGGTTCTGCACAGAGATGGCCGGGTTCAGATGTGCCACCCTGGCCGGACTAGGTGCCCCTCAACACCAAACATGGCCCAGTCCTGGTGTGGAGGAGGGGCAGCGTTCAGCCCCAGGGGCCCAGCATTCCCAATCCTCTCCACCAGCTGTACCCCCCACAGCTTATCTGTCCGCATCCCAACCCCTTGCCAGGCCCCACAGCAGGTATGGGCTAGATACGGAATGGAACAAGAGCACTTCTGAACTGGGATATGGTGGGGTGGGGGGTGGGAGTGGGGACTCACAAGACCAGAGCTGACCTCTGGCTTGGGAGGCAGCGGTGGGGGCGCTGGGGAAGGACCACTGCCCTTCTGATCTTGGACTGGAAGGTACAGAGTTTTTTGAGCGAAACAGGGGCCAAGTGTTCCGGGGCGGAGTCCGCAGGCCCTGGCGGTGAGACTTGGCCCTCCAGCCTCTGCCTGGCCTGCCCCGTCTGTGCCCACTTGAGGGCTGGTGACATTCCAACAGGTAAGGCGAATCTTCTCAGAACAATTGCCCTCCCTCCCCCCACCCCCCATCCGTGGCCACGCAGGCGGAGGACTGGGACAGTCTGACATGCCCGCTGCCTCGTGTGATGTCCAGAGCACCTTCCAGGGTCTTCAGGGCTCTTTGGGCTCCACGATTTGGGGTGGGGGCATAAACAGGAAGGTGGGCAATTGATTGCTTTGGTGAACAGAGAAGCTGCAAACCCTCTACAGGACCCGAGGCTCAGCAATGCCTACTGGAGCCAGGGGGCTGGGGGGCTGGGTGGGGCTCAAGGGTGAAGCATTTAGCCCAGACATGGGCAGTTCAAACCCACCCAACTCTGCAGTACTGCTCAGAAAGGCCTGGCGACAGACTCCCAGACCGTAAAACCGGAACTATGCTCACTGCCTTTGAGTGGATTACAACTCACAGCGACTCTACAGGACAGGGTAGAACTGCCCCTGTGGGTTTCTGAGGCTGACTCTTGACAAGAATAGAAAGCCTCCTCGTTCTCCTGCGGAGCGGCCGGCGGTTTCAAACTGACAACCTTGCAGGTAGGCCACCCACCGCGGAATCACTGCGCCACCCAAGCCGATGACAGCCCAGAAAATCCCCGGGAATTTCTCGGCCACATGGGGCTGCTATGGGTCGGAATGGACTCAGTGGCACCCGTCGCAGCCGCCGCCAAAGCAGGGCCTGGAGTCGCTGGGAGTGCAGGCTATGCGGGTGCTCAGCTGCTAGTGAGGGGTTGGAGGTTCAAGTCCCCCCAGAGGCTCCTCGGATGAAATGCCGGCAATCTACTTCCCACAAGCCGTCCACCCAGTAAACACCCCTCAGAGCGAGGTCCCACCCTGACGCGCACGGGGGCAGCGTGAGCCGAAGTCACTGGCAGAGAGGTCACAGCCTGGGCCCCCCCTGCAGCGGTTCCACTCTATACATGTGGGGTGGCCTCCAGCTTGCAGCAACTGGCCAGCACGGAATGATAACGACTATGCTGCGTGGAGCTGAGCCCAGATCAGACAGGATCTCTCGAGAACTCTCAGTCCGTGGGCCCTCTCATCCTACCTCCTGCTCAGTGGACACCAGGGTCCCTTCCCCGGGCAGCTGGCCCTGGGATCCGCGGTCTGTGCTGTTCTCCTCAGCAGTAACCTCACTTCTTATGCCGCTCCACTATCAAACACACACACACACACACACACACACACACACACACACACACACACCAGCTCACCTGCCAGCCAGGAGCTCCTAGGGACGGGTCAGGCTTGTCCCCTCCCAGGTACTGTCCTGTCCAGGGGTTTCTGAGTGTTCCCAGCTAAGGTCACACGCATCCTGTGTCCCAGAGAGCGGTAGCCATCGCCTCTTCCTCTACTAACAAGACTTCTCACAGCTTTCTGACCTTCAGACCCGCCTGGGCAGGAGCTGGCCCCGTGCCGTGACAATCGCAGCCTGGCCTGGGTGTTTACCTCCTCGGGCTGCGGGCCCAGCCTGGCTGCAGCCACACACCTGAGCCAGGGCCTGCTGGAGTCAAGCGCTACAGGGGTGAAAAACAGGAGTGGCTGGGGGCATTTGGGGAGTGCTGACCACACACACCCAGGGATACTACCAGGGGTGGGGGTGGGGGCTGACACCAAAATGGCAGCCTTTCAAGTTTGGGTGCAGGGTGGAGGCAGAAATGTATTCTTTTAAAAATAAAAATATTCCGGCAGTTAGTAATAAAAACAAGAGCCTTTTCCCACTCCCGGTTTGCAGTCTCTGATTCTTAAGTGCCTACTGTATTGTTTTATCTCCCCCACCTTCCAGTACCTGCTGTTTTAGCCACAGTGGTGTGATCAGTAGTACTTGTGAACTTTTAATATGTTCACTTTTGTGGGGAGGGTGAGATGGAGTAGTTAAGGAAAAGGAAGGGAAGAATAAAGAATAGCTTCCCCTCACGGACTGCTAATGTAGCCAATCATGCTGCCACTCAGTGCAGAGCGACCTCACCAAATATTGATTTGGTTGTTAGTATTCATACAATCTTCGAACATTTACATTTAAGCCATTTACAGCTATATGCCACACATATTCTAATATGAAAATGGAGAATCTGAAAAAAATAATTTATGAATTATCAAGTGCTCATGAGGGAGGGAGGGAGGGGGAGGGGGAAAGGGAAATGAGGAGCTGACACCAAGGGTTCAAGTAAAGAAATGTTTTGAAAATGATGAAGGCAGCATATGTACAAATGTGCTTGATACAATGGGGAAATAGACCTATGTGCATATATGTATAGGTTTAGTGGGTAGCAAGTGGATATTGGGCCTCCTCATGCGCATTCCCTTAATACAAGAGCACTTTGGTCAGCTAAACGGTCATTTCATGATACCCACCTTTCCGACATGATCACTGAAAACAGACTTGTGCATAAGCGAACGTGGTAAAGAAAGCTGATGGTGCCCGACTATCAAAAGATATAGCGTCTCGGGTCTTAAAGGCTTGAAGGCAAACAAGCGGCCATCTAGCTTGGAAGAAAAAAAGCCCACAGAGCAGCACACAAGCCTGTGTGAACATGAGGTGTTGAAGGGATCAGGTAGCAGACACCAAAGAATAAAACCCATCATTGTGTGATCACCTTCCCCACATAAGCGCTGAAGACAAATGTGTGCATAAGTAAGTGTGATGAAGAAGGCTGATGGTGCCCGGCTATCATGAGATATAGCGTCTGGGGTCCTAAAGGCTTGAAAGTAAACAAGTGACCATCTAGCCCAAAAGCAACAAAGCCCACATGAAAGCAGCACACCAACATGTGTGATCATGAAGGGCCAAGGGGACCAGGTTTCAAGCACAAAAGGTGTGGGGGGGGGATCATATCATCGTGAATGAGGAATGAGGGGAGCGTGTGATGGGGACCCAATGCCCATCTGTGGACAACTGGACATACCTTGCAGAGGGGTAGTGGGGAGGAGATGAGTCACTCAGGGTGCAGTACAGCAATAATGAAACTCACAACCTTCCTCTAGTTCTTAAACACTTCCGCCCCCCAACTACCATGATCCCAATTCTACCTTGCAAACCTGGTTAGACCAGAGGACGCACAGCGGTACAGATGGGAACTGGAAACACAGGGAATCTAGGACAGATGAAGCCCTCAGGACCAGTGGTGAGAGTGGCGATACCGGGAGAGAGGGGAGAGTAGAAAGGGGGAACCGATCACAAGGATCTACATATATCCTCCTCTCTGGGGGATGGGCAACAGAAAAGTGGGTGAAGGGAGACGCCAGGCAGTGTAAGATAAGATAAAATAATAATTTATAAATTATTAAGGGTTCATGAGGGAGGGGGGAGGGGGGAGGGAAGGGAGAGCGGGGAGGGAGGGGTAGCGGAAAAAGGAAAATGAGGAGCTGATTCCAGGAACCCAAGCAGAGCGAATTTTAAGAATGATGAGGGCAACGGATGTGTAAGTGTGCTTTACACAATTGATGGATGTATGGATTGTGATAAGAGTTGTATGAGCCCCCAATAAAGTGATTTGAAAACAGAAAACCAATAATACTAAAGATTCTGAGTGGTTCTTGGGAGGCAGGGCGACACCATGAGTTAGGGTACTGGGTAACACCAACTCTAGAGGTGCCACTGACCTTGGACCAGCATAACCCTGACTGAGTCACTGGATAGCCGCCCCACCCCCACCCCCAGCTCCCGGGTGTGAGACTTGAGCAGGCCTTTGAGGGCCTTGAAGATGCAAGACTACAGCTTCAGGGGAATGATACCCCAACATAAAGAAAATAAAAATTCTCACAGCTGGATCCGTAAACAACCCCACGATGGATCAGCGTTGTCATGCATTTCCTGTTCCTGGGATCCACAGACCACACCCAGGCAAGCAGCAGTCACGAGATCAAGTGACCTGTCTCCTTGGACAAATCTACTGAAAAAGACGTCTTTAGAGTGTTCCAAAGCAAAGATGTCCCTTTGAGACCACGCGGTGGCCTTCGATGGCCTCACGGCTGTGCAGAGGCTGGATAACGCACGGAAGTCTGAGGAAGAGTCCGCTGAGGCCTAAGGATGATGCTGTGGGTGGAGAACGCCCGCGGACTGCCAGGAGAATGGAGACATCTGTCTGTGAGACGCATAACCCGAATGCTCCCTCAAAGTGAGCGTGGTGACTCTCCATCTCATCGCACGTGCTTTGGTGATGCGATCAGGAGGGACCAGGCCCCAGAGAAGGACATGGGGCCTGGCTAAGTAGAGGGACTGCAAAAAAGAGGAAGACCCTGGACAAGACGGACTGACACGGTGACTGCAGCGACGGGCTCCAACACGGGGACAGCTGTCGCAGGACGGGGCAGTGTTGTGTTCTGTCATGCAGAGGGTTGGTATGGGTCAGAAAGGCCCAACACAGCACACGACCCCCACCAAGGTCTCATTCTCTTCCGACTGCTTTAGGAGGACACTTGCACCCTCCTTGCCTATAGGGTCTATGTTGGTTAACTGCCCAGTGCATTGACTGTTTGCATCAAGTCCCCCCAGGGACACCTCAGAAGAAAAATTTGTCAGACTGCTTCTGCAGAATCAGCCATTGAAAATAGTACGGAGCATCGTTCTACTCCGACGTGCCTGGGATTGCCAACCGCCTGAATGGATCCCATGCCAGTTGCTGTTATTATTGCTACTAGTGACCTTCTGTTCAATGCTTAGAGACGTGCTTGGCTGCTCACTGAGAGGTTGGTGGTTCAGACCCACCAGAGGTTCTTCTGTGTGGGGAGAGAGCTGGTAGTCTGCTCTGGATGCAAACCTAGCAAGCCTCGTGGGGCAGTTCTACTCTGCCCTGTAGCGTCGTTGAGTTGGTATCAGCTAGATGGCAGTGAGCTGGAGTTGACTCAATGGCGTACAGCAACTACCTCCAATGCTTGCAAGGTCACCGAGTGTCCACGAAGACGTGGCAGTTGCTTCCCGGAACAGGTGAGACAAGATGGGGTCATTGCCCTTGGTAATGAAAGGGTCACTGTGAGTAGAGAGGGACTCGCTGGCCATGGCGTGCAGCTCACGGTGTGCATGAGCTGAAAGGCGGGCAGTTTCAGCCCACCCAGGACCACCGCAGAAGACTTGGCGGGCGATCGGCTCTGTGAAGACAGCCGGGACGGTGCTGGGGGCAGGTCTGCGCCACCACTCAGGAGGTTGCTGTGAGTCAGGGCTCCACAGTGGCCGCTTCGTGATTGTTATTCCGTGCATATTACATGCTGCCAAGCTAGTGCTTTTGCATATCCCCCTTATGTAACCCTTGCCTGATCACCACCAGGGAGGCAGCCCTCTGCCTTCCCATGTCAATGGTTTTGAAATGAAACTTTAGTCGTCTCGCCCCAAACCTCACAGCTAGTATGTCAGGGACCCGAGATTCAAACCGAGCCAACTGGTGCCCAAACCCGGCTTTTACCCATTGCTGTTATTTGCCATGGTGAGGAGCGGTGGTTTGCTTCTTTATTTAAGCCGCCATGGTATTGATGACCTAGTTCTGTGGAACCAAGGGACCTGAAACTTAAAACCCAACCCCCCTCCCCATTCCTATACCCGACCCTCAAAGACCTACAGTAGAACTCCTTCCATATACCCCAGTGTGAGGGGGAGAGAAGGGGAGAGGAGGGAGGACGGGGTCACCATGGTTTGTTCTCCAAGAACTTCAACTCTTTCCTCCCATCGAGTCTCGTCTCTCTATCCTCGCTACCTTCCTGCCCACTCTCCTTTCATGGTCGCACTCATTTTAAAGCATGGGAAGCGCCTCTTGCAGAAGAAGTTGTGTGTGGATGTTTACATCTGATTTCTCCACTCTCCTCTCCTCTACTCATTGATAAGTATTCACTTTCCCCTGGATGCTCTGCAGAGCTGGGACGCAGACTTTCTTAGAGCCTCTGAGTCTGCTGCTGTGTGCTCTCTCTCTCTTACAGACACACACACACACACACACACACACACACACACACACACCAGCTCAGTGCTCTGTGGCCATTGATGCAAGCTGGTGGTGGGTGGCTTCTGGCCTTGGGCAGAGCTGCCACAGGCTCCCCCTTTCTGGTGAACAGGCCAGCAAGGGACGCCGAGGGCCTGCTGGCCCTGACTCTCTCTCCTCACTTGCCTCCCCAAAATGAAGGGCTGGGTGAGGAAGAGGGTGATTGGCATCTTGGGGTGCGCAAGGGGCTGTGTTTGGGAACTAGAATTCTCAGTCCTTAATACAGGAGAGGATTCCTTTTATACCGTGGTTGAGCACCTGGGGGTGGTGGGGGGTGGTGCTGGTGCTGTGCAGGTCACAGGGGTGCAGTTGGGAAGAACTCTAAAGCAGCCCC